TAACTAACTACAGATAATAACTAATTAACTGACGATAGATAGATAGATATATACTGTATATATATAGATAGATGGATAGATAGATAGATAGATAGATAGATAGATGGGACTAACCTACTAACTAACTAACTAACTAACTAACCAACTATAATGAGGGTAGATAGAACTAACCTACTAACTAACGACAGATAGATAGGACTAACTAATTAACTAACTAACTAACGATAGATAGACAGACAGACAGACAGACAGACAGACAGACAGACAGACAGACAGACAGACAGACAGACAGACAGACAGACAGACAGACAGACAGACAGACAGACAGACAGACAGACAGACAGACAGATAGATAGATAGATAGGACTAACCTACTAACTAACGATAGATAGGTAGATAGAACTAATGGCAGATAGATAGGACTAACCTACTAACTAACTAACTAACTAACTAACGATAGATGGATAGATAGAGAGATAGATGGGACTAACCTACTAACTAACTAACTAACTAACGATAGATAGACAGATAGATAGATAGGACTAACCTACTAACTAACGATAGATAGGTAGATAGAACTAACGACAGATAGATAGGACTAACCTACTAACTAACTAACTAACCATAGATGGATAGATAGAGAGATAAATAGATAGAACTAATGATAGATGGCTAGCTAGCTAGCTAGCTAGATGATAGATAAATGGATAGATAGATAGATAGATAGATGGGACTAACCTACTAACTAACTAACTAACGATAGATATATAGAACTGAGATACTAACTAACTAATGATAGATAGATAGATAGATAGATAGATAGATAGATAGATAGATAGATAGATAGATAGATAGATAGATAGATGGGACTAACCTACTAACTAACTAACTAACTAACGATAGATATATAGAACTGAGATACTAACTAACTAATGATAGATAGATAGATAGGACTAACCTACTAACTAACTAACTAACTAACCAACTATAATGAGGGTAGATAGAACTAACCTACTAACTAACGACAGATAGGACTAACTAACTAACTAACTAACTAACGATAGACAGACAGACAGATAGATAGATAGATAGATAGATAGGACTAACCTACTAACGATAGATAGGTAGATAGAACTAATGGCAGATAGATAGGACTAACCTACTAACTAACTAACTAACTAACGATAGATGGATAGATAGAGAGATAAATAGATAGAACTAATGATAGATGGCTAGCTAGCTAGCTAGATAGATGATAGATAGATAAATGGATAGATATATAGATAGATGGGACTAACCTACTAACTAACTAACTAACAATAGATAGATAGATAGATAGATAGATAGCTCACTAACATCTCCATCATATCAGTTTATTAATCTGCACACAACTATCTGTGTGGTCAATCAGGTTGTGCTTAAACCCTTCAGGACTTTTTGAGAGGAGATGTAAAAGGCTTTTCTGCAGCGGTTACCCAATCACACTATTGCAATCCTGCAAACAGAATCGAACACAGACACGGTTTATTATCAAAGGCTTTATTTATCAAACAAAAAGAATGCACCATTCAAATAACATTTCTATATAAAAAGGAACATTGGACTGTGCTACAGTGCATTACAAAACCAGTAATCGTATACAACGTCATGGGTAGAAACAGCCGGAGGGTTCGACTCGGCAGCGGCTGGAAAACCGCATTTCAGATCTCAATCACTACACTAATTTGGTTAACGACGCTAACATTGGACAATTTAAGGATGAAGTAAAATACACATAAGAATGATTCCTCCTCTCGCGAGCAGAGAACGTCTAACAAGCCTGCTCATGTTCCTCAACGCTGCCTTCTGATTCTATCATTAACACGACTAATTAGTCACTGCATGAAGGTGATTCTGAGACACACCAATGATCAGCTGATCAGGGATCAATCCCATCAGCCCCGGCACTGCTGAATTACAGGAAGAGTTCTCTGGAAAATGAATGCTGTTCAACCCCGTACCACACAAACGATGCCAACGCTGCTCAGTTCTACACAGTTAAAGGTACAAACGCTGTCAATGAAAAACTAATTCATATGACGCTTGTATTGTATTCATCAGGAAATGAACTATGTCATTTAAAAAAAATAAAAAATAAAAAGTTAACTTGTGACTTTATTTTACAATTCAGACTATTTTCTTGCAATTCTGAGATGCAAACTCTGAATTCTAAGAAAAACAGTCAGAATTACGAAATATAAACCTGCAATTATGAGAAAAAAGTCAGAATATATAAAGTTCACATCTCACAATTCTGACTTTTTTCCTCAGGATTGCAAGATATAGACTTAGAATTGCGAGATATTATGTCAAACTTTAGATATTAAGTCAGAATTGGTTAGAATTCAGAATTCTGACGCAATTATGAGAGGAAAAAAGTCACAATAGTAAGATATTAACTTAAAATTGTGAGAAATTAACTCGTAATTCTGAGAAATAAAGTCAGAATAGCAAGATATACAAACTCAGAATTTTTACTTTTTTATTGCAATTCTTTTATATCTCTTTATAATTCTGTTTTTTTTTCCTGCCATGTAATGTTAAAAAAGTTAATTGTAACTTTGGTAATACTTTCTATGAAGCCCATATTTATAATACATTATAAGGGTATTCTTAAGGCATTATAATGAATGCATAATGCATGATAAAAAAAAACCTTATAATATGTTATATCATCTTATGAATATTCATAAGAACAGTTTTAATGTATTATAATATTTAGTTATTTGTGGTTATAGCTTTTAAGAGTATGATGATTTATAACACAGTGAACATTAAGTTACAACAGATTATATTTCTCATAGTTATAATGTATTATAAGTCTCATATCTTGCCATCTTTGTTATGCTACTTTAGCATCAAAGACTAATTATAAGTATTGTAATAATAATAATAATATTTTTTTTCTCAAACAGCCATACGATCAGGTATCAGATCAGATGAATGTGTAATGTGTGAACACAAGTAATATGGTGTTCATTGTGTGTTATAAATAATCATAATCTTAAAAGTTATAACCACAACTGCGTAAGCATTATAATGTATTATAATTGTTGTTATGATTATTTATAAGATGATATAACATATTATAAGATGCATTATGCATTCATTATAATGCCTTAGGAATACAATTATAATGTATTATAAATAAGGGCTTCATAGAAAGTGTTACTGTTACTTTTTACGTCACACTTCTGACCTTTCCCCCAAAACTTTTTTGTCAATTCAGACTTTTTCTTTTTTTTTCTCACAATTTTTAGTTTTTATCTTGCACTTCTGAAAACAAGCAAGAAAAAAGTCGGAATTTTGAGATATTACAAAAATCGTAACAATTACGATTTCAGATGTAGAAAAGAGCTGCGAGAGGATTCTCTGTTTGTTTTTGAAATGAATGACATTATTTTCAGGTGAACTTTTCCTTTAACGCAGGATCTGTGAATCTTCACTGTGAGAAAGATGAACAGACTGTGAGGGAATGAGAGCGACTGCACATCCACACAAACTCCATGCTTCAGACGGAACATTATGGGAGAATCCAAACGTCAGGAATGTTGTCGATCACATTTAACGTGACACACAGAAAACGTCAGACAACCGAAGGTGTGTTATGATACTGAAGCAAAATATCTTCCTTCAAACACAGTGAAAATCCGTCCCAGAATTCCTCCTCCTTTATTCTCCTAATGGGCTAAATAAAAGCTCTAGAATTAATCACATCGTCTTCATAAATTACTGTGAAAGGAACAATCTAAATCATATATTAAATATATCGTAGAAACCCAGCGCCACAGCGATCAGTCCATCAGTCGCTCGCTGCGTCTGTACAGTAAAAACAGCGTGCCGCTCCAGGATCTGTACGGTACCAGAAAAATATCAAATATAGGGACGCATTTCATCCTCCATTCATCATCCATCTTTTGTCTCGCAGCACAGCAAATTAATAAAGTGACCAAAAAGTGAACAAAAATATATATAGGCACATAAAACGTCTTCCTGACATAAAAAAAGAGATGAACGGAAAAGCTGATGGTGTGAGACGCGTGAAATGTCTCAAAGCGGTCACATTAACATTATTTGACAAATTAATTCACTCTTCTGCCATGTTTGTTCTCCTTTTTTTACCCTCCGCCGACTGACTGATCACGGTCACAGCAAAACCAAGCCAAGACCAAAAAAACATGCTCTTCTTCAGTGTTTTTGACTTGCTTTCCAGTACAGATATATCAACTTTCCAAAATAAAAAAAGGAAAAAAAATTCTGGCCAAAATATATTTTGTAAACAATAAAGAAAATATTGAAAATATATTTATATTCAACCTTCATATACCAAATATATATTTCAGAATGTATTTCAGGGGCAAGAAGATACATTTAGAATCTTACAGTAGCTATATTTTTTGATCAAATGTTCACATGTGTTATAGACAACAAATCATTTTAAGTGTGAAATGTGAATGCATTTTCTATGATTGAAAATATATGAAGGGCCAAACTAATTTTTATGCTTTTAAAAAATATATTTAAAATATATTTTCAAAAATACACCAAAAAATCTATTTACATACAGTAAATATATTTTAAAACACATTTTTAGCAAATATACTTTTTGGCCTATTTTTGTATATTTTAAAATATACTGAAAAATGTTCTTTTTTTTTTTTGGTGCATGGGACATTTACTGAAGAAACAAAAGTCTAATTTTCTAAAAAAAAAAAAAAAAAAATGCTTAAAACAAGAAAAAATATCTGCCGACGGGTTCAGAAAAATAAACACGTTTTTTCCCCCTTTTTTTCAAGTTTTAAGAGTAAACTTACTTCATTTTTATACCTTTATCAGAAAAGAAGACTTGATATCTGATGCCATTTGGCTTCTCAAGAAAATGCATCTTGATTTAAGAACATTTAGATATTGTTACCGGAAAACAAGGCAAAAATACTGAGGAAGAAAATCATTTTTGGCAGCACAAGTGGTTCATTTATCCCTGGATGGAGATGAAATGCATAAAGTGAACTCAAGAGCACACTGCAGGGGTTTACAGTTCCTCTACGGTCAAATAATAAACCAATATGAGATTCACAAAGAGACACAGCAAACAATCAACAACAAAAATCAGTGCTGCGTGAGCAAAATGATCCGATCTTCTCGGCTTCATCCGACCGCTTTCTAGTGTGAACATACAGTTCCCCAGTGAAGTGTATTCAAGGGATTTTGGCAGCAATAGATTGCCAAGATGTCAGTGAAAATGTGTATTTTGCCAACTCGGTCGTGTTTGAGATGAATCGCTAATAATCCCATGGGAAAGGTTTCCGTCAGTAGATGAAGCTCAGGAATCCTCACAGTCTTCCTCCTGATGGATCTGCGTTCAGATCGTACGTAAACCAGTATAAAATCTCAGACAGTGTTAGAAAAGAGACGCTTCTTCTCCATCGCGGAGATTCGGTTCGGAGTCATTTTCCCTTTATAATCCCGTTTGAGGGCTTCAGGTGAGTCAGAGAGAGTCCTCTGCGTCTGCGTTAAAAAGCCGAACCCGTGATGGCATTGAGCTGCTTCATCAGACCTTCCAGACTGGCCATCTGCTCGCTCAGATCGTCCTGCTCGTACACCTGCGGAGCACAAGAGCAGAAGAAACTTTAACCTGGTTTGGGAAAGGTCACTGTGATATTGAGAGGATCCATGCAAACAGTTAGTGAGGCTATTGCATGCATATCCCAGCGCTGTTCCTGATGTTTTGAGCTCCATCTATAACATCAGACATCCGTGTGAAAACACTCAAGCATCAGTCGAAGTGCTGTTAGCTGATCTATCGTCACGAGTCCAGAAACACTCGTCAGGAAGAGAATGGTTGCTTTAAACGCTCTGACAGACCAATATCTGATTTTACACACATGCAACACTCACGTGGAACTACAGACTGAAGAGCACCAGTTCTCATTTCTACTGTAGTTGTGCACAATTCATCATTTATTCATCTGAGGACATTCAAAATATATGAGGATGTGATATTTTATAATCCATATCCTGTCCTTATATTTACTGATGCTTGAGATATTTTGATATCATTAATATACTGTTATAGTTTTTATTTTTATATTTAATTTTATTTTAATTTTAGATAGTTTTAGTAATTTTGTTGTGTGTTAGCACCAGTTCTCATTTCTACTGTAGTTGTGCACAATTCATCATTTATTCATCTGAGGACATTCAAAATATATGAGGATGTGATATTTTATAATCCATATCCTGTCCTTATATTTACTGATGCTTGAGATATTTTGATATCATTAATATACTGTTATATTTTTTATTTTTATATTTAATTTTATTTTCATTTTAGATAGTTTTAGTAATTTTGTTGTGTGTTTTTCGTTTGTATTATATTATTATTATTAAAAAATGTCTATATATACATACATACACACACACGCACTCACACACACACTCACTCACGCACACGCACACACACACACTCACGCGCGCACGCACTCTCTCACACACACACACACTCTCTCTCTCACACACACACACACACACACACACACTCACACTCACACTCACACTCACACACACGCGCGTGCACGCACGCACTCGCGCACTCTCTCACACACACACACACACACATATATATATAAAACCTAATTAAAATTACAAAAACACAACATTTCTAAAACTTTAAAATTAAACTCAAAACTACCATGAACATGCAAATGTCTAAGATTATGGAAATATTAACTTCAAATTATTTTTTATTTAAAATTCTGAATTCAATTATTCAATAATTTAGTTCAAAAGCCTTTGGTTTGGCTGATAACAAAGTCTGTGAATCCCTGCTTTAATAAAATCAGGAAATGCATTTGTAATGTGTCAATCGTGTAACTGTCTCTTGCATAAATATATCTACCGCGGTATTACCGGTAAACTCTCTCACTCGGGCTGCGCTGAAGTGTCCGATCACTGTCAGTTTGTTTATCTGCTTCATCTCTGACGAGTAAAGGCCATTCCAATTACACAGATCCGTGTTGGATGGACAGAGTCTCCTGACCTTTCCATCTCTCGCTCATAAACTAGAAAAGCGAGTCGTCTGAGGCCAAATCAAACCCCGAGTACAAACTTCCCACGTTCTCTTGTTATTGTGACATCAATAGTTGAACACTGTCTGCGCTCTCATCTGCAAATCTTCACAAAATATTAATAACTACACCCGATAAAGCAGAGGAAAAACCAGGATAGGTTTTTGAATCACAGAAGCATCAATCATTCTTTTTTTAGAGAACGAAAACGAGCCAAATTGTTGCTTGAGGTTTTATGGAAATAATTCTCATCAGTTATTAAGCGTTCAGCTTACGGCCGAGATTTAAAGCGACTCCCCGCCGAGTCCAAAGTGCTCTGAGAGACTGAAGCGAGTGTTTGATGAGGAGATCTGGATTGGTGTGTGTGTGTGTGTGAGTGTGTGTGTGTGTGAACTAATCCAGCATTAAGACGCTTCTAACTAAAATACATTGAGTCCATAATCCATAATAACTCTTCCTCCAGTGAAAAAGTGTTCTGGTCTGAATCAGGAGAGAAATCTGCACAGATCAAGCAGCGTTTAAACAGCTCTAAACACATATGTGGCTGGATTTTGATGTGAGAGACAACAGCAGATGCACTTTTTCTCCGGAGGAAGCCATTTCTCCAAATCTGATGAAGAAACAAACTCATCCTAATCTTGGATGACCTGAGGCTGAGAACATTTACAGCACATTCTCATTTTTTTGAGTGAACTACTCCTTTATATGCCAATGCGACTTATGTGTGTTTTTTGTTCTCTCTCAACAATGCAATTTCCACTTTGTGCAACTATCAAGAAAACAAGGTAGTTACAAATTATTTTCATTATTTTCAGCACCAGGAACAGCCTGATCCCGCCGACCCTCAATGCCACAAAATCAAGTGGAAAAATGAATGTAGTTAAAGGAGTCAAATCCAGATCTCCATCCAGAGCTGCACTGGCAGACCTGAGGAACTTCGGTGTAGTGTACTTATGAGAGAGAGAGAGAGAGAGAGAGAGGGAGGAAGACGAGAGAGAGACACAGACTGACAGAGAGAGAGAGAGAGAGAGAGAGAGAGAGAGAGAGAGAGAGAGAGACGGGACAGATGGATGGGCTGATTGCATCCCTGCTCATCCGTGAGTTTTCTCTCTAAAGATGTGGGAACCGACGGACTGTGATGATGGATGCCGATAACAAGCTTCCAGAATCTCTTACATTCCTCCACCTTAATGAGAGACCTGCGCTCAGCATTAGCAGTGCAATTTAACTGCAGAAATTGGTGGCACCTGCTCCAGGAACGGACGCTTTGAGTCAGAAAACCCCAAAAGCTCTTCTGCTTTATCAGTGGCAGTGATTAGAGAGCAGAATTATTGTTGACTGTTAATGTAGAACTCATCTAAGCTCCTTAAGCATCCTTAATTTGCAATGCTGAAGTAAGACTTCTGATGCATTAACCCTTGTACATCAATTAAAAAAGTTACACAGAGGTCCTTAGAAAACAAAAGTGACAATAAATGGTCATAAAAATATTATATATTATTATATTTTTCATTTTCACTCACATTGATCTTTTTTACCAATATCAATCATAATCATAACTACCAAAAATTAATCAATTTTCACAATTTTAAGCCTTTAAAGCCTTTAGTTTGTTTACATAATAAGTATGAAAAAATATGCTATTTTCCATATACTAAATGCTAATCAGGTTTTTTATTTTTATTTATTTTTTTGGATAATTACAGTCAATGGATTATTAAGTCAATGATTAGAAACAATATTAATCATTTTTGTCTTGAGGGTCCTGAGTTTAACAATTTTTTAGTGTAAAATAGATTGTGATTGTGAAAGGAAATGAGGGTGAAATTTTAAAATTCCAATAAAAATACACATTTTGACAATTTATGCCGTTTGCATTATTATAGTTAAACTAAAACCACAAAAAACAGTTTTGTTACTTGAAATAAAATAAATGTTTAAAAAAACAAAACAAAAAAAACGTTAAACATTTTATTTCGGCTAGTTTCATTTCTTATTTTCATTTAGTTTAACAATGTACTAAAATATAGCAAACTAAATAAAAAATTAAGAAACACTATATAGACAAATTTAAAACAACAAAAACTAATAATAATGACAAAAACACAAAACAAAATGAGTAAAAACTTTAACTAAAATTAACATGAAAACAAAAAATATAAAAATAAAATGAAATTCAAAACATTAACAAAAACTATAGTAGTATCTCATTGATACTAAAATAACACTGGTTTGCATTAACACAGCCAAATAATAATAATAATAATAACTAGATAAAAAAGTTTGTCAAGACAAACTTTAGGTTGGCTTGAGAAAGCCTAGCCTGAAAGTTTAAAGCAGTAGTAAAAGCCTGAAGTTTGAAAATTTAGATTAGATAGATGTTGATAACCTGTTTCTAGCATGATTAGCAGGTTTTTAGCATGATTGGCCTGTCACTAGCATATTGCTGGCATGATTAGCATGTTGCTAGCATGTCGCTAGCATGTTTCTTCGGAGAGCGGGCCTTCCCAGCCTGACCCAGCGAGGCCGTCTTCACCTGCGGTTTGGGTAAACTCCCACCTGTGAGCAGAGAAACACACAGAAAACATCAACACACGACTCATCATAGCCATTAAAGACACAGTGCACCCAAAAACGCACATTCTGACATCACTCATCCTCAAACCTCCACGAGTTTCTTTCTTCAGAAGGAGATATTTTGAAGAACCAAACAGTTGATGGTCTCCACTGACTTCCATAGTATGGAAAAAAAACACTATGTAAGTGGATGGCTACCCTCAACTGTTTGGTTTCCAACATTCTTCCAAATATCTTCTTTTTGTGCTCAACAGAAGAAAGAAATTCATACAGGTTTGAAACAACTTGAGTAAATTATCTTTTTAAGACAACTAACTGAAATGATATTATTACAACATTTTCCGGAGTATAAGTTGCTTTTTCATCATCTATAACATGCTGTGAGTTATAATTCAAAGCGACTTGTATAATGCAATTAAAATCAAGCATGCAAAGCTTTTGGAAGTTTACTTGTGCGTTTCCCCGAGTTTTCCTTTAAATAAAATAGTTTTAGGCTTGCCGTTTATAAAGCACATTGTTTATAATGAATCCTGTGAGTGAATGAGATCAGGATGAGTTTGTTTCTTCATCAGGTTTGTAGAAATGTAGCATTGCATCAGTGTCTCAGCAATGGATGCTCT